TCAGCTAAGCTTGGGACAGAGAGAGAGAGCAACACACCAGTCACCTTCTACGAAAAGGCATTTTTCCTTTTTTTTTTTTTTTAAGTTATTCTGGGTGCTCAGTACCCCAGGCCACTGCATCTGTTCTAGAAGATGACAAGTCAGAATACCAGCTACCGGTACTTGGGCTCTTTTTAAAACAGTCCAATGTCTAAAAGAGATCAGTCCTACTGATCAGTGCTGATTTCTAGAGGCTGGAGAAAACGTAGGGAAAACAAAACTCAGAACCCAACTTGATTTCTCCTGACTGTGTTGAATGCATTAGGTAGAGTCTTGACAAGGCAATGAACTCATTCTACTAATTGTAATTAGTGTGAGGTCTTTGGCAGGTTATTGGGCTCCTCAGACTTCAGAGGGCTTTGATCGCCTCTTGCTAACTGGTTTAATGCGTTTTTTATGCAACAAAAGCAACCACTACCTACTCTTTAGAAAACAAGCGAGGCTGGGCTTTAGAAAAAGAATTCTCCGTTGTTTTCACTTGTCCTCCAAATCGTGTAGAACGTTCTTTCTCAATTCAGGCCCTTGGAGTTGCTAAGAAACTGCCATTTAAGAGGAAGGGTAATTAAATTTTGATTTCAATTTAAGGACAGAGCAGGCAAGGTTCTCTACACTCCTTACATGAATGGGTGCCCCAGACCAGGGAACATGCTGTTTCCAGATCAACACTGGGCACTCGGTGTGATTCGGGTCTCTGGGTGTTTTGCTGCCGAGAGAACAGCTTTGAAATGGTTCTTTGTGGCAAGTACTGCTGAACTTTTGGGGAGAAATACTCAGGAGACCAGTGTGTGCTGGGAAACCAGCAACTCTGGGCTTGATTAATTTATAGGTGTAATTTAAGAACCTGGTCTCCTTCTGATCCCCGGGATGCGTATTTACTGAGCCTGTAGGCATGAGGCCTCTCTTCTCCGTGGACGTTTTTTATGGCCTTGGCTATGTCAGAGCAAAAGTTGTAGATCTCTTATGAGCCAAGCATATTATTATGTCCAGAGGAGGACTGGCATGTTATAAAGTTTCAGTGGTCAATTAACAAAGATTTATTCTTTGTCACTCAGGTATTTTCTTTTTCTCAATAATTACGTCTTGGAACGAAGCAGGCTGTTTTCCGCCTGTTCTTTCTGATTGTGACTCCCAGCGTCAGAGCAGGACTTGGGAGGGTCAGTCTCGAAATTCAGACTCGTAGCTGCTGGGTGTTCTGCTTGAGGAAAGTGGACTCACTTGGAGCTCTTGACAAAAGGGAGTGAGAGAGAGAGAGAACTCGTGGGGGAGAGCATGTATTTTTTAAAGCACTTCAGTCTGTGTTTACTACGCATCAATTTGGTGGAACCTCCTTCCAGCCGGGCAGCCGGTGCCCCATCGGCAGCAACCGCACCCTCCGGGCTTCGTTCCCTTCTGTCTCAAGTTGGAAGTCGCATAGAGGCCCGAGAGTCACTCCTTTAAAGGTACGCGACCTGGTTCGGGTCTGCGCAGTGACCTTCTGCCACCTGTTGTGCTCAGAATGTGTATTTCGCACTAAGGACACAGGGGTTGAGCTGCTCATCAGCTTTTCGGTTTTCCTTATATTTATTTCACTGCCCCTGGAAAGAGAAAAATCTGTTTTCTGTAAGATCTGAGAGTTAAACATGCAGTAAGAAAACCTTGCCTAAAACTGTAAAACCTTCCTGGTAGAGAGGCTGTGATTTTTGTTATCCCATAGAAGACTGAGAGATGGGCCAGCTCTGAGTTTTAGTCCGTGACCCAGAGATATTTCATTGACTTCTTCTTTTTATATCGGCCTGTTGCCCAAAGCGTTGGGAACCTGGGGGATTTGCTCTGCCTGGGGCCTGGTGAGGTTCCAGGGAGAGCACATTAGCCTTTGGGGGGCGGTCCTCGTGCCCACCATCACTGCCTTGTTCCCGGGGCCCCCTGGGGAGCTGGCCACAGAGGTCCCATCTCTGCAGGAGCTGTTGCCTGCACCCTGGTCTCACCCCTGTGTTTCGGAAGTTAGAACAGGAGTTCTACCTTCTGTCACCCCCTTCCTGCTGGTCCCTGTTCTTTCGGGTCTGACAGACACCAGGGAAGAGCAATCGCTGAAGGATTTGAGAGGAGGCACAGTTCGGGGGATGCCGGCATCCCGGGACCTTTCCCAAGATGTTTGGGGCCTGGTCTCTGACTTGTTTAAGGGCAGAGAATAAGGTTGCAAAGGAAATCAAAGCCTGATGTGGAGAACGAAACATGAGGCCTACTGACTTTTTAAAAACATTTTAAATAACATTCTCTAAGGTTTCATTTTATACTGAAGGCAGCTGTAATAAGTTTTGGAAGACGGTGTAAGGTTTCGATTACAGAGAGATCCCGACTTGCAGTTTTTGTACCCAAAGTGAGAAAGGGTGGAGGTATGCGGGGGTGGTTAAGAGGTTATTTTGTATAAGGTGAGAAAATTTGAAAGGATACATTCAGGACTGCAAGTGGTAACATTTGGTACGCCGTAATTTGCAAATGCAATAACATTAAACCATTGCAAAGGCTTTTTTTTTTCCCCTGTCTTGGTGAAAATAGTCCGGATAGCAATGGAATAACTTAACAACTGGAACGTAGCAGCACGTTGACCACAAGTAAAACAAGGCTGCACCTCTGCAGCGGGCCCTGCCCGTGTTGCCCCAGTGACTACGTTCTCTGCTGAAGGCTGGCGCCGGCCGGAGAAGGCGGCCTTATGAAAGCACTCATTGTTCCCAGGGCATCATTATTTGGTATTACATGCACAATGTTTGCTTGTGAAACGATTTATTGGAAACAAGTATGTTTAAGAAGGAGAATTTGGTTTGAAATTCAGTTGATCTGGCTTATGACATTTAAGATTTTATAGGACCTTTGTTTCTAAGAATAAATATTTAGATCCACTGTAAATATTTATCTTAAAACACACAAACACACGCACACAAAACTGGAAAACCGAGCCAGGGAATGAATGGATACCTAAAATGCACTTCTCTGCAGGAAAGAGTAAACTCCCTCAATATGAGGTATGTGTAAAGGAGTGGATTTTGTGAGCTTGGCTGGCAGTATCCAGTCCAGAGGACAGTGTGTGTGTGTGTGTGTGTGTGTGTGTGTGTGTGTGTGTGTACTTGACTGCTCTTCTCACGTGGATGGGGCTAGCTGGGATTAAACCAGCCCTGCCCCTTCCAGCTGCAAGCCGGGTGCCCGTGGCATCCAGCTGGCTGCCACACCTGACGGGGAGGCTGGCCGTGGTGCATCACAGGGATGGTGTGTCAGCCGAAGGGTGAGGCTTTCTGGTTATGTTTGAAGGGGTCCTAGCTTTGAGATTTTCTGTCCGCAAAAGTAGGACTTCTGGGTTCTTTGCTCAGCCTACAGCGTAATGTTGGGAAATGAATGACTTCTTTGGAGGCTCTGAAATCCTTATCTTTTTAATGTGAAAGTGTAGGTGTCTGTGAAGTGATGGAAGATTCTGGAATGAAATGTGTTAAGAGTAACCCACTAGCACTTTTTTCCTTTCCTTTCCTTTCCTTTCCTTTCCTTTTCTTTCCTTTTCTTTCTTTCTTTCTTTTTTTTTTTTAATTTTTAAAGACCAGCAGACTTGTGCAGTAAAATCAATTTGCACATGGTTTGGCTTGTGTCCAACAAATTCCAGCAAATGATATTTTAATCTGAAAGGCCCAAATATAGAAGGGTTTAGATATCTATCATTCTAATTTGCTATTTCCAATCCAGTGCACAGGGATACTCAGGTGTAGGGTGGAGGCATCTTTGGTGTGTTGGGTTGGCTGGGATCTCCTTCTTTCCCTTGGCCATTTTTTAAGCTGGGAGTTAAAGACAGTGGTATCTACAGTGTGGGGAGACAGGGGGAGGCTGGCTTGTACGTGCAGGTACGTGGGGGTGGGGTGATATGTTTGTGGATGGCTGGCTGGATGACTGGGTATGTACTCTTGAGCGAATTATCACGTAGTAAGATGGCAGTCCGCCTGGGGTTCTAGAGCCTTTGTGGACTGGATCACACAACGGGCTGGTGTGTTACCAGATTCTTGAGGACTCTTGCCTACAGTTTCTCATATACCTTGACCTGGTTGTCTCTATATGATTTCTGTAGAGACCCCCTCTAAACGGGAGAGGAACTTTTCCAGGCATAAAATGAAGTGTGTCTTTTGTTGAGAACTTTTTGCCTAGAGAGAGAGAGGCAGGGCAAGTGAGGGTGGGGAGTGATGGCTAGCATACCCTCCCCGGGGCTTCCTTGAACACGGCCTAGAACATCGCCAGGATTGGGGAACTGGTGTCTGTCTGTGGTTCTTTTGGTGCCACATCTGAAGAAGGAATGTCTGCTGGTGCATCTAGCGTTTGGCAGACAGTAACACTTAATATATATCGAGGTAATCAATGGATGGATGTTGAATAAAAGTAGTGAAGTCCAGAGTAAAGGGATGAACCCAGTTATTCATTCAGTCTGTTCTTCACTCTGAGCTCCTGCTTTCGGTTTTTCTTTCCAAAATAAGAAATGGAGGTTTTCTCAGAGCGCCTTAGAGAATTTTCGGGAGACACTGTGTAGGGGAGCCATTTTGGTGTTCAGGGTGACCTTAGGCTTGTCCCTTGCCTGTGGTGTTAAGCTTATGGTCAGAGTGAGTCTCTGATATTATCCCAAGTGGGACAAGTGAAGAGGCCCCCGTCCCCTGCCATTTGTCCTTTCGATTGTCAACATAAAATCTTACCCCTTGTTCAGTAGGTGGCCACGGACAACCGATAACTTGAGATATCAGAAGTTTCTTCTCTCTGTTTTCTAAATAAGTATTCTTTTTACAAGGGTTGTGCTCCAGCAGTCTCCTTTGAAGTCGGTTTTGTTATGCATTGGGCCGCAGTGTTATTTCAAAGGAGTCAGCCAGCAGACTTGAGGCCTTTTTGGCTTGTGTTCATGAACAGCCTTCTGGACAACACAACTTATTTATTCGGCTCTCCCCTCTCCTCCCTCTCTCCCTCAGAGCGATCGCCACACCGGCCCATCCTCCAAGCTGGACTGCCAGCGAACGCCTCCACTGTGGTCGGAGGCGACGTGGAGTTTGTCTGCAAAGTTTACAGCGACGCCCAGCCCCACATTCAGTGGATCAAACATGTAGAAAAGAATGGCAGCAAATACGGGCCCGACGGGCTGCCTTACCTCAAGGTGCTGAAGGTGAGGACTTTCTGAATCTGAAGGGACCCACACCTGGGGTCTCCGTCGTGGACGTGGGGACAGGTTCTTTGATTTCCCGTTGGATCTGTTGGTCTTACTTGACCGGCCAGAAGAGAGTGTGGTAGGGAATTAGCAGATTATTAGGCTTGCTAGTAAAATTGCAGAAGGGGATGGGGGGGGGGGGGGGGAGGGGGAGGGAAGGGCTATTCAAGTAGGAGTCAGAATAATTCAGCTACTTATTGGCCCTGAGATCTCATATGAGATATTGAGGCTTAGCTGCACAACCATAAAAGTGGGGATCATGGTGCCATCTCCCCTACGGGGTGGTTGTGCAGAATCCATGCGATGGCCTGCATTGAAAGAGCTTTGTGAACTCGCGTGGTACCAGTGTTTATGGTTAACGCCGATGTCGACTTCTCTTAATACGACGTTAGGATCAAATTGGAGTAGCCATCTGTCAGAGGCAATTTACATTCTACTTTTAAAAGAAGGCTTTGGCCTTTGAAATTCATTCACATGTGGTTTAGACAATAAACTTCAGAAAATGCTTCTGCACCAGTGAAAGGTTGAACAAGGAGACTTCCTTTCTCCTTGTATTTCGTGTTTGGTTCCTTCCAAGAGGGGACTTGGTGATAGCATCGGCCTCTTTAATTTTTAGCTCTGTCTTGCTCTTCAGGACGGTGATAGCAAGTGGTAACTAAGTCTGTACAGCCTCTCCTTAGCCACTGCCTACCACGTCTCTCTCATGTAGGTGCTCACAGAGAACGTCCTTAAAAAGAACAGTCTTCCCATAGAACCATAGGTAGCTCCACTAAGAACTCTCAGCCAATGAGGTGTTCTCCCCAGCTGAGAATCCCAGTGGTCAAAAGAGCTGGAAAAAGACGACCAGCCTGGGGAACCGCGGGTGCGTTCTGCTCGGTGTTGATCACACCTTCTATCCGTCTCCCCTGGGTCACTTCCATGGCTCACCAGTTAGCTTATTTTGTTCTGTCTAAGCCCACAACCCTGTAAGGCAGCTCCTTAGACCTAATGGAGATTTGTTTTTTTTTTTTTTTTTTTTTGGTGATGTGTTGGTGGTGGGTCCCTAAGACAGTGCAAAGTCCTTCCTGGTTGGCCGTTATATTGTTCTCCTGTGTCTGTTCCAGCACTCGGGGATAAATAGTTCCAATGCAGAAGTGCTGGCTCTGTTCAATGTGACTGAGGCGGATGCTGGGGAGTATATATGTAAGGTCTCCAATTATATAGGGCAGGCCAACCAGTCTGCCTGGCTCACTGTCCTGCCAAAACAGCAAGGTAACAATGTTTTGTGTTTTTATTTTTTGTTTTTTTTTGTTTTTTAAAAGAAGGCTGGAATTAGAAGCTGAAAAGATTTGGTGCTTTGGGAGACTGCAGGCAGCTTCTAGGATGACTCTGTGGCCTTGGTATATTCGTCATAATCTTTCTTCGGTGATGCAGCTGGTAGGATACCAGCAGCCATGGAAAAATGCCCACAATGTTCAAAGTGCTTGCTCTCGTTTCCTCTAAAGATTACCTGCCACCCCCCTGCAAACCACCCCCCCACCCAGTTTTTAAGTCGTTCCTTCTGGTTTATCTTGTTTAGGCTGCACATTCCCTGTCATTTCTGCACACCAGCAGCAGTTTCAACACACACAGGCATGCCTGTTGAATTTGGGACATTTACACATCAGCAGAATTCATGCCTTCTTCTGCCCCAGATTGATAGAGAAATATTGGCATGCGATAATTTTTCCAACAGAATATCATTTCCTTGGTTACATAATGAGTGCTTAGGAGATACTGTCCTTGACCTTGCTCCTAAGTTGGAGCATAATCCATCTTGTGGATGTGGACACTGTTGAAGGCAGCGGTTGACATTCTTTGTCACGACTCACACTCAAATGTTTATATCGAAGGAAAAAAAAAAGACCCAGTTTCTTTGCTACCAAGATTGTACTTTCATGCAGTGTGAGTCAGAATGGTTCCCTGTGAATATCAGAGTCTGGTAACCGACACAATATTCCACCCTGGTTGGTCCCCACCAGGCTGGAAGGATGTGCCAGGTGTCCACTTGGGCGTGTCTCCAGGGTTTTGCTTTATAGCACAATAATTTAGACAGCACCATCCTTTTCTCAAGGTGGGAGTCTGCAGCCAACAGGACCAGAACCCAGCTGGGACTTTTGGGTGCTTACATTTTTGGAAAACCATCCCTAAATCCAAAGCAACACAAAGGCCAAGAGAAAACGGATCTCTGTGGGTTGATTTTTCCATGCGTCCGATTGCATGCATGTCTAGGTGGTGAAGCCGGTGTGGTGACGGGCCTGTGGAAGCGAGCTGCTCAGTGTCTCTCGGTTGTGGGCTTTGTGGACGGGCTGCGATCGGAATCTTCTGGTGGCCAGCACCTGCCGGAGCCCCTGGTGCAATGCCTCATGGTTCCACGGCCCCCTCCACGATCATCCCTGTGTTGTCTAGCCTTTTCTCTTGCTTCCCTGTTTTCTAGGCCGCCGGTGTTAATACCACGGACAAAGAGATTGAGGTTCTCTATATTCGGAATGTAACTTTTGAGGATGCTGGGGAATATACGTGCTTGGCGGGTAATTCTATTGGGATATCCTTTCACTCTGCATGGTTGACCGTTCTGCCAGGTATATACTGCTCTTTCTCGCCATGGTTTTTTCCCTTTTCTGGGTTGATTGCTATAAAATTAACACAGCTTCTGTTCTCAGAAATGGCCCCTTTTATCCTGGCATAAAGATTCTCAAAAATGCTGAAAATTATCCCCCGGGGATAAGAAAGTTGCCTTTGGAAATTCACTTACAATGAGATCCCACACTCCCATTTATGATCAAGTGAAATTTCATCCTTTAAAACCCAAAGGGATCTTATATTTTCAGTGAGTCATTGAATCATTGTATAAATTCACCCATCCACATTTCTTTTAAGGAAAAGAAGGGGAAATTACTTTGTAAAATTCAAAGTAATTTTTTCTCATTTCAGATTCCATTTCACTAAAACCCCATATGTACTTTTATTACGTTGTTCCACTCTCTCTTTTTTAATGATATGCAAATAGGTGGATGTATGTTGGGGTGCCTGGGGAGAAGCACCTCGGCACATAGGACGTACAGAAGCAGTGTGTTACCTACCTCGGGAATCGGTGGCTTGCTGCATGTTGCAATAAAATGGACCCTCAGTTTGCCTTTCCTGCAAAGCATGTTCTCGCCAACTTGGGCTTGATGTTATTTCCTCCCTGTGGAGAAATCAACATCAGCGAAGCCCTGTTGCCTACATACTGCCTCTGTCTGAATCTTTAACCGACATCTCTGTCCTTGTCAAACTTCTCCTGATAATCACGATCTACTTTGATGTGTCTGTCTCTTTGTCATTTCCTTTGTGAAGCTGCATAGACTGGTTTGCTAGCTCATGATGTTCCACTCCAGTTATTAATTCCTTATTTTTAGAGTATGGTGCCTACCTGCATGCTTATTTTCATACCTAGTAAAAAGAAATTGATCATTTCATTTTGTGCTGTGCTGCTGGGAGTTTTGACTATCTTGCAAGTATTTTTTCTGATTAAAATGTATGAGCTTTAAATAATACCATTGCATCCATTTTCCCTTTTGTTGTGAGTCTGCTCTGTGGATATTTGCTTTGAAACAATGAGATGCCTCTTATGTTGAGCTTGCTTTTTACTTGTAGTACTGCATTCTGCAGGTGCCTAATTGGCACTTCTTAACCAATTTGCCTGACAGTACTAGCACATTAACTAAGAATGCAGTGCGAGAAAAATACCGTTTGGAAATACACTGCTTGTAGCTCAATGACCATTGAGGACTGAGGAGGGAGCAGCTATTACTGGAAGTTGATCTAAGAACGTGCTACCTTAAGTAATTATGTGGAAACTCACGTTAATACCGTTTCTATTTTTTTCTTTAAGAGAAAAGTTGTAGTGACCTCAGTATAACCAGAGAACACAAATCTTAAATGGTAATTGATTAAGGGATATTAGAAGCGTTCCATGGTACAGACATAATGATTGTATATTAAAGGCAATTTGGCCCTTAAATTCAGTTAATTTGTTTATTTGGTTGAATAATATGCTGGACTGTATTAAGAAATTTGAAACCTTTCTGGACCAGCCTACTAGATGAGTATTTATTTCATTTCATATGGAAGTGTGTTCATCTGGGGTAAATCGCCCTGTCACATGTTCCTTTGGAAGAGCTCACCCAAATAAGAGTGAGGTACCATCTCTTCACATGCATAAGTGTGCATTGTTTATATTTACGAATTTTTGATTTGGTTTGCGTCAGAGACCACCATGGAAGACAGTCCTTTTTTTTTTTTTTTTTTTTTCCCCTGCAGTTGTGGATGGATAACTGTCCTATTCTGCCCAAATGTCTGCCAGAATGTGGCCCTGTAGCCTGCCCTTTGTGCCTTGGAGGCAGCCAATCCATCACGATCACTGGATTGCAGAGGCCCATTGAGGCTAGAGCTAGTGGCTGCTTGGGCCCCGGTGGTCAAGTGGGGAGCCCTTGGTTACTCACCTTCATTTGGGAGAGGTGCATGGCGGGCCCATAGCCCATGCCATTCTGCAGCATTGAGTCATTGGGAAGCCTGTCCTTGGGAATGGTCATCCCCTTGTGATTCGTTTAGCTCTGCCGGGATGCAGCAACCCCATGTCCTAACTCTGTGGCCTGCTTATCTGTTCCTCCCCTGTGGTCTACACTCTAGCTCCTGTAAGAGAAAAGGAGATTACGGCTTCCCCAGACTACCTGGAGATAGCCATTTACTGCATAGGGGTCTTCCTCATTGCCTGTATGGTGGTGACGGTCATCCTGTGCCGAATGAAGACCACGACCAAGAAGCCAGACTTCAGCAGCCAGCCAGCTGTGCACAAGCTGACCAAGCGCATCCCCTTGCGGAGACAGGTAACAGAAAGTAGATAAAGAGTTTGAAGAAATTTACTCCTCCCCCCACGCCCCAGCCAGCCCTTGGGTCTGTTTCTCGGCTACGATATCCTCTACTTCTGCGAGCTTCGCTGTGCGAGCAGTCCCGACATGCCTCTCAGTGGCTCTCTAGTTAGTGTTGGGGGCTCAGAGAGTCAAGCCCTGGTGCCTCAGTGGGGTCAGCTGAGTCAAGTTCCAAGGACAAGAAAGCATGACGGTGTGAGACTCTGGTAGCTAATCGGTAGGACTGGAAATAACACAGGGAGGCAATGCCCTTGTGTGTTTGAGGCTCAAGTGTAGTGGTCTTGTTGAATCATAGGCCACTTTTGTCCCCTGTGATCTAATACTGTTTTTGAGACAGGCTTATGCCACTAGTTGGAAAGGGCGGGACTCTAGTTCTCTTTGACTTATATTTTAAATCAAGGTCAGAAACTTATGCCCTGGAGATGAAAGTGAACTACTGCTTGATTTAGACCAGACTATGATGTCTTTCTTAACTGGGTTTTCGCTCGACCTCTCTGATTCTTAAAATAGAAATGTATGCATATATGATGTTATTGTTAATCGTTCGCAAGTGTGGCTATGGATTTGGTGGTAGAAAGATTTTTATATTGAATGAGCAACAGATTGTTCTTAACCCCGTGACTGGCCTTTGGTGGTTACTTTTTGCTTGTGTGTGCCTCCTGATTGGTGTCATTTTGCTTTGCGGAGAGGGCAGGATAGAGCCTCTACACCTTTGTCTTAACCCAAAGCTGCAAAGCCGAGTGAGACAGGATATGCCCTGACTCTTTCTTCTGTGTTCGTGAAGATGGAAGGGGAAGGCAGGTATGAATGGGAAGTGTTTACAAATAAGTATTGGGAACTTTGTTCCGATCGAGGAATTTCTTTTGAGACAACCAAGTGAAATGGCTAACTCACCGGCTGTATTGCAGTATGTGCTTTAGTAGAATTTGACAGGGCGTTTGTCAAAATTACAGAATCCTTAGTCTTAGCCCTGGAGATTCTCGTCCAGTAGATCTTGAAATGGGGCCCAGAACCTGCATTTTAAGTGGGTCCTTGGGTGATTCTGAAATGTACTCCGAGAAACTCTGGGTTAATCCCAGCCCTGCCCCTCCTGGGACTTCAGGTGGCGATGACATTTTCTGGATCTGGCGTTAGCACGGATTAGGAACCAGTCGGCCAGCCACAGTTTTGGCATGGCTCTTGCTGTTCTCGACCCAGCTCCAAGCTCCAGGCTGAATGGGTCCTTGTTGACTCCTTTGAAGCCACGTATCAGGCAGCTCTTTATTCTTCTTAGAGACTGAGGATAGCATTTGGAGTGTGTTGTCAAGTGCAGGTGATTGCCCAAATTATGTTAAGAGCAAGGGAGATAAAGGTGCCCATTGGGTGACTTTTGCCACCAAGAATGCTATTGTTATTGAAATGACACCACTATCATTCTTGGGGCCTTCTAGAGAAGCAATGATGGGGCCACTTGCCTGACTCTGGGAGAGTCCAGTCTGAAGGTGACTCTTCACATGGCTGGATGGTGCCTTCAGTGACCTTCAGGGGCCGTGGCCACCCTTCCCCCTCCCTCCTTCTTTCCACTTACCTCTGGGCCATTCTTCAGCCACCATCTTGAGAACCTGACCTCAGGGAGTTGGAAAAGGGAGTGGTGTTCCCATCTCTATTATTAATTTTTTTTTTCTAATAAGGGAAAATGCTACCTTCTGGAGGAAACTTGCAATTTGGTGTAGCTAGACCATTGGCCCATAATGATGTCATCATCTTTTTTTCCGCCACTATTACAATGCTCTTTTTTTTAAACTTAAATATAAAAGACATAGCTGCCCTTAAAAATCTCCTTGACTCAACCCTAGTCATCTTATTATCATTTCTCTTTGACTCACTGGCCTTTCTTCTTTGTCTCCACCTCTGTTGGTCATTCTTGTTATACTCTCCCCTGTATAACAAAGGGGAACATTGGGTTTTTCTCCTTTTTTCTCCCTCCTTTCTTTTTCTTTCTTTCTTTCTTTCTTTCTTTCTTTCT